CTTAACACTACCTGAAACAGCCTTCCCAGGTTCACTGTGTTGAGTTCACATCTTTCTTTAAATCTTATCTTAAAGCAAAGATGGGATAGCTGCAGTCTGCTATACACTGTGTTGCTTAGAAATAATGGGAGTGATTTGAGTGCTTTTGTTGTGTTGCTCATGGTCTTCCATTCTTTCCCCTTGATGTAATGGCTTTAGTTCAGATAAATGGGTGTAACTGTTAAGCACTGGAAGAAACTAAAACTTTAAGTCCATGCCAGCTGGCTCTTCAGGTGGTGCAAGGATGAGATATATTCTAAAAATTAAAGAGTATGGTCAACTTTCATGCATAGGTAATTCATCCTTTAGGGTTTTTTTTGTCTTTGTGAATAGTGTGAAATGAACATAGGTAATAAGCCACAGATTATAGACCATGATGAGCTATAAATTTGTAAACCCACTTGTGTAATCACTGCAGCAGTTGGCTTTTCAGTAAAGCGTAGTATTCAGTGTTTATCTTGATGCCAGAATGAGAGCAAAAGTACTGACTACATATTAAATTTAATATTGCCTTCATACTCCTGTTGTTGGTAGGAACATACTTGTTTCCTGTTTCAGCCTTTAGCAACGCAGTAAAAGGGAAGCAAACTATTTTTCACAAATTGAGGCAAGTTAACTTGGGGTAACTGCATCGAGTGACTGAAATAAGTCTAGGAGACAATGAAATGTTTGTTAAAGAAAGACCACTCTGCATTTTATTTGACCTATGTAGACTACTTGTAAAAATTCTCTTTTCATTTGGAGGAGACCGTTCTGATGTACTTGAGTCTTCAGCAGTTGTCTCGCAATCAAACAAGTGATATGCAAGAAACAAATTTTTCATTTCTTTGGGCAATAATGGATGTTTTTCTTGAAACACAGCTAATTAATACTTCTGTAAAAATCCATCTGTTGTCAAAGCCGTAGAGCAGGATTTAAAGACTAGCTGAAAGGTGTAAGTCAGTCCGTTGTTAGTGAATAAATAACAGGTTTAAAACAGGGCAGATGTTGCTCTATCAATCAATCAACTTCAGATACTTTTTGAGTCTCACTGTGATTCTTTTTTTTTTTTTTCCCCCCCAGGTCCAGAGGTACAACGGGACAAAGCCATGACTGGTGAACAAATTGAGTCATTTGCTAACAAGCTTGGAGAACAATGGAAGGCTTTGGCTCCCTATTTGGAAATGAAGGACTCTGATATACGGCAGATTGAGTCAGATAGTGAAGACACGAAGATGAGAGCCAAGCAGCTGCTGGTTGCCTGGCAGGATCAAGAGGGGACACATGCAACACCTGAGAATCTGATTACTGCACTGAACAAAGCTGGGTTAAATGACCTTGCAGAAAGCTTAACAAATGACACTGAAAACAGTAGTTAACTGGCTTCAGGTTCTAACTCGTTGTTGTTGTTGGGGTAATTATGACTGTTGTTGCTTAGTAACAAATCTTGGGTAGGTATCTTATATTCAATAAACAATAAAACCTTTTTATAACACTGTTGAGTTGTCTGGACTTTCTGAGAAATGAAGGATTAGTCATCCTGACCCAGAAATAGCAACCTTTGTGCTTAAATGGTGGAAATGTAAAAGGGAGGATGGAGGCAGAGGCAGCTTTCTGGGCAGACTGTAGTAGAATGGCTTGGTATCAATAGAGCCAAGGCCACTTCTTTCAGATGGGGTGCTGGTGGATGGGCTGTGTAACTGCATGCTTTTTTGTGTGGTTTCTCAGAGCAGGAATAGGTATGAATGGCTTCTGCCTCACTCATCATTTCGGGTGTTGTAGATCTGTAACCATCAAGACGTACGTGTTTGCAACTCAACTTTGAGAAAACAGGGTTGGGGGAAGATCCAGTTCACAGTATTTACTTTCAGTGAAGAACTGGTGTCCTTGGAGGGATGGTGTCATGGATTCGTCTCTCATGGTGAAGCACTGGTTCTTTTTGGTCATTAATAACTAGAGATTTATTTTTAATGCCTGTTTTTAATAATTATTAACTTTAGTCTCTGCATATGCATTTATGCCTGGTTATGTCCAAACTCCTCTGAGTCACGGTAAACAATGTATTTTTTTTTGTCCCAGTTAGTTAGTCAGTTGTGTGATGATTTAGTTCATTGTAAGGACATAGCCCTCTTTCTTTGATGGGTAGAAGCTGCTCTATGTAGCAGGATTTGTTTTCGCTCAGAAATCAAGGGGTTTTGTGATCTTAGGTTGTAGCCAGCTGCAGTTGGTTTCATGGATGTTTCTTGTGGTAGAATTTACCTCATTCAGTGGAATTTATCCTAATTACTGAGTAGTTGGAAAACTATGTATCATAGAATTTTTCTTTCTGCAGCGTGTTCTGTTTCAGCTATTAAATCATAGCTCTGAATTTCCACAGTGGGTTAGCTAGCAGCACTGAGGCTGGTTCCTGCCTGCAGCCCTAGTGATGAGAACTTCCTGTGCCTGCTTCTCCCTTTGGCTTTGACTACTGAGCGCTTCAGTGGCAGCTGGTAGGGGCCAACGGGGTGGTTTTTGGAAATGCAATAATACAAGTCCAACTGTATCTCACACTGTAAGTAAATGGAGCTAATCAATGAACTTAGGAAAATGAAACTATATTAAAGGTTTTCATGCAGTTAAGTATGTGAAACTGAAGTGCTTGATGCAAAGATGGCTCTACAAAGAGCAAGATTGACTAGGGAGTGTGCATCCACAGCTCTTCAAAAGGATATAAAATTGTCTGCCTTCGGGTTAAGCGTTGACGACTGAGGTTTGAGACTTTCACGTACAATAGACACGCGTCATTGCAGTGTCATATGTTGTACCAGCTCTTTTTGAGCAAGTTCCTAACTAAAAAAACTGGTGTTAAAGCACAGCTCTGATGATTCCAAGATTGTGGGTTGGGTTTGTTTTTAAATCTGAAGGTGATTGATCGATAGGCATTTTTAGTGTTGGTAGCCAAACTCAGAGCCCTAGGAAAAATAACGTGGAAAAATAACTGTTGTATTTCACAGGCACATTGCTGGGGAATGTTGTGTGCTGGCAAGATGATGCCCATCGTGTTAGTGAGGTCACAGCTCTATCACAGCTTTTGAGAGGTAGAAGGTACAAAAATATGTCAATTGATTAAGGGGCCTGGGCATATGGTTAATTCAGGTGTGGGATGACTTCACAGCTGGTCTGAGACAAGGCCAGCTTTCTGCACTTGGAACTGCAGCCTCCTATTGAATCAGAGCAATAGCACAGTATTAATATTTGCAACGTGAAAGAGTGGGGAGAGTGAGAACCCTATTCCATTACTGAAGTAAAATGAATGTTACCTACTTGATTACTGCCTTCTTGATGCTGAGAAAGCTGGGCATGAGGAAGGCTACAAGAGAAAGTGAATGAGGGAGTCTCTGTCTAGTGGTTTATGTTCTTGATTCTTCAGGTGTGAACCGTAATCTCAGCACTAATGTGCAAGACAAGAGATCTTGGCACTGAGCTGTTGTCTGGTTTGGATTTGGACCCATTCTCTTGAGTTGGCAGCAGAGCAGCCTTGTGAGTATCACTTTTTATATTGAGAAATGCAGATTTCTTCTGCCTCTGACAGTTTATTCAGAATAGGGTCAAAAAGATGTGACTGCACTGGTCTGGCCCTCAAACAGAAGGATGAAAACAAAGAGCCTTCTGGGGAAGAGATACTGAATGTGAGTATCCCTACCACTGATTTATGCCCCACTCCCTATGATGTAAATAAAGGGTGCAGTTTGATATACCTGAAAAAAAGTAAACTCTACTGGAAACTGAGATGACAGGACATAAATTGATCTATAATTTATGCTTCTCCTAGAGTAGTTTTATGTTAAGAGTATCTTTTCGCAGTCAGACAACTTAAAAGTATGGTTTTGGATGTGATAAAGGCACACATCTCAAAATTAGAAAAAAAGAGCGAAAAAGGGGGGAGGGGAGGGATAAAGTACTTTTTGGGAAGGAAAAATAGTTAATTTTTTTTTTTTTTTTTTACAAATATCAGGCTATGACCAGTAATAAAGGCTTATTTATTTCATAGGGGTAAGTCACACAGTTGGTACCACTTCCCTCTTCTGCTCTAAGCAACTCTTTGGAAGCCTGAGCTTGAGTCTGGCAGCAGGTGTTTTTCAGCTGCCTACAATGAGAGCAAGCACTAATCATAGGAACAGAATGGGGAGAACGTAGTTCCACAAACCAGCAATTCTAGCCACATGTTCTATCTCAGCAGACAGAAGAAGTGTCTAAAAACAGAGAGGAATCTGTACCCATTTCTATGGTGTACACAGAAATGGATTTAGTACTGCACTGGGGATTCCTCAATGAGGTGATTGGTAAGACTTGCCTTTAAACATAATTTTTTGGTAACATCCTTAGGCCTTTGGTATGTTCACACTGGAAGCTGTGCTGTAAAGGAGGCAGTACAATAATCATCAACAGAAATTCTAAAATTAAAAAAACTGTTTGAGAAGTTCATAGTTCACATCATCAAGTCACAGCCCCTAGAGAGAGTAAGCGAGGCACAGCTAAACTCACAATACAGTCAATGTTAAGGAAGATGCAACTTAAGCTATTTCATGTGAAATGTGGACTAACAGTAGTACAGCCCTCCTAAGAGGGACTGGGACAGTTGTTAGAAATCAGATCCCCTAGGGTAGAAGTTAAATACAACTAGCTATACACGGCCTAGTGCTTTCTGGCTGTAGCTAATGTTAAGATGCTTTTTTACTTTAGCCTCACAATTACTTATATCTGCTATATTCCCATGGGGAAAAGAATAGGAATTACTGTACATGAATCTCAATTTTCCAGATTTGAGTTACCATACTAGACTTTTGTGTGAGAAGTGCCACCACAGAAGATATATATTTAAAAAAAAAAAAAAAAAAGCACCGTAGGGATTTAAGACCATTAGTAGCTGCTGGCAGTACGCCACAACTGCTGAGACATACAGCGCAGTAGTGGCTAAGAAGTGAAGACAAACACATACTAACTACACTATCAATACATGACCATTTTTAATGGAGACACATTGTTATTGATCACAATTTATTTTAAAGTCATGAAATGCCAGCAACAGAACAGACTGAATCAGCAGGTCAGGCTGGACAAAGTACTTGATTGTAGCCATGGTTGTTGGCTATGGGCAGCAGCACTGAGTTACGCAACGAGGCAACAGTTTTCCTTCTACCTTCCTGACAAAATTGCCAGGTAAGGCAAAGAACGGACAGCTACTGAACTGTGGTATAAACCATGCAAGAGTAACAAATGTGAGAATAGGTGTGTAATAAATACTTGACGACATTAGAGGGGAAGGGGGAAGGAGGCTCATTTAAAAAAAAAAATTATCTTCTGCAAGACATTAAAGCTATTTTAAGTATTGTCACCACCACAGAGGGCAGTCCAGTCCAGCAGTGACTAATTGGTACATGGATCAGTTTTTAAACAATAACCCTCTTCACATGAAAAAGTCTGAACAAATTACATATCCACTTGCTAAAGCTCTGGGGTTAAAGAAGTGATCAGTAATCAACATTTATTTCACACCTAGGCAGAATGACTAAAACTGAAGACTACTATTCAGCTTCATCTTCAATTACTTCAATTCTGCGAGGCCCATAGAGTAGAACGTAAGCTATATGCCAGTCTCCACCCCCAGATAACCGCAAAATATCTTCAGGTGTAACAATGCTGACTTTGTCATCATCAAATTTAATCCATTCATCTGCAAGAAAGACAAGAGGATTGTTAGCAAGTTAGGCACACAAAATGTAATTGAGTTTTTAACAGCACCTTTACAGCTAGGTTTTTTCTTTAAACACTGCCTTTTTTTTTTTTTTTTCTCTCCTTACCTTGTTTCCTTTTAACCCAAGACACATAATGCCCAGAGGAACTTGATCTGCCTTGATGTGTTAACACTGCCTGCAGGTCATAATAGCCACAATTATTAGAACCAGTATCTGAGGGAGGGGAAAAAAAAAAGTTATGTAAGACTTACATGAAGTGTTTTAGCAGTTCTAACAGCATGCAGACCAAAGATGTATTACACCTACTATACTGTTGCAGCTGTGTAAAACCTCACTTACAGGACAATTCTAAGACTAAAAGTAGTGGCTTTCAGCCACACCCTCCGGAAGATACCATGAATGTTCTCCACTTTTATGATACAAATACGTATATTGGGTGTAATGCAAACACAGTAAGCACATGATGTATAGTCAGTTACCATGATACTTTGGACTCACTTCCTCAGCACGCGCTGTACAGCAACACTGCTGAGAATACTTGAATATAGAGATCAACCACTCTGCAGTTAGTTCAATTAGGCTATGCAGAGAAAACCTAGAGAGTTGGGACACCCTAAAGAGTGGAAAAACTTGGCTAATTCGGAATGATGGTACCAAGAAGGGAGGGAGTTAAAATCCTTGACATGTCTTAGCTGCATTTCTCAGCACTCCAGCATATCTTATTTTCACTGTGCCCTTGAGCTAGTCAATGTTCCCCATTGCCTCTAAGATGGTGCATCACACATCTGAGGAAGCACTACACTGTAACAATTTGGATAAAGAGGATCATCAAGATTATTTTTGCACAGTATCGTTCATCCTCAGCACTGAATTCTGAAGAAGGGAGTCTGTGCTAAAGGAAGAGTAATGAGTTACTTTTTTTTTAAAAGATCTTAGAAGTGGACTGAGTCCACTGAACTAACCTCAACATCATGTCACACTTGAAAAGCAGATTTGACTCATTTGTACACATTAGTTTTGGAATCTATTTTCACAGTTGTGGGACTGAAAACTTTCAGTGGGACAGTTGAAATACTTTCACTAGCTTACTGGAAAAACATCTCTTTCGTCACAAATTTGGACTGAAACATGGAAAAATGTTTCAGTATTACAGCATAATTATCAGAAAGTAGATAATATGTGGCATCATTCACTGTGGCAACTGCTTCAGAAATTGTTAACTTTAGAGCTTGCATTGCAGCGAAAATCCCACTGGTGTTTTCTGAGCACCAGATGAAAAGCACTCTTATTGAAGCTTTCAGACAACTGATGAGATTTTTTGCTTTTCAGTCAACAGCTTGGCAGTATAGCAAGCACACACGTGAGGAAACTTGGGTGGGTATCACAGATATGCCATAATATCAAGAAGTCAAACAGGTGAGCGGAGTTCACAGATTAACAGGAATTATACAAGCTCAGGAGTCATATAAACCTGGTCATGTGCTTTGATCTACAAGCAGCTCAAGCTCAGCTGGTAACTGCTCCCTCCAGAACTGAGGAAGTTCTCTGTTTTAATACTGAGCAACCTGAATATTCTACCACCAACGTGCTATCTCATCCTTGATCCTGTACGAAACGCACAGCCGTCCTCAAAACCAGAGCAAAAAATTTGCAAGAAGTTGCATGAATATATTCACTGCCTCAAAGGAACTTTGTACTGGTAGAACCCAGGTTCCCACCCCGCAAATTCACTAGCCAACAGTAACACCACAACAATTAAAGAAGTCCTGTTTATGTTTTTGTTTTGATTTCAGCTTTCTGCCACTGCCACAGACAAGAACGCTTACAATACAACTGTCTTCTGATGTACATATTTTCCATCTATTTAGATAAACTTATCCCACAGATGACAAAAATGTTCGACTACTTCACAGCATTTTGACTTGCCTATTTTATCCATTCCTTAGAGTTGTCTGTTTTTGAGGATTAATCTTCACAGGCATGAAAAAAAAAACAAGGGGGGGGAGGGGAAGCTTTCTGCAAAATATCCCTACCACAAGGTCCACTTAAGCAAGAGATATAATTCCCAATACTCACCATCAGGAAAAGAAAATGGTTCGTATTTAACTTCTTTCTGTGCACCATCACTTTTACTAGACTAGAAAAGAGAATATGCTGAATTAACGTGGAATAGTTTTGAAACAGCTTTAGTACAACCACACCAAATACCAACTCTGCATTCTTCTAAAGACATTTCTAAGCCTAGACTTTTTGTTGTTCAACTTGATACAGGCTCCATTACAGTATTTCCAGTTGGACATCAAAAACCCTAATATAAACAAGATCTCTTTTTAAAGCAAATATGTAACCATTTTAGTACATACTACCCAGAGTGCTTACCCAGTAGACTTACAGGTTTGGGACACCAAAAGGATTCTGCAATGGACGGTTTTATTCCTTGTTAGAGATTTCCTAGCAGTAGAAGTAGCAACAAGAAAACGCAGGAGGCAGATTTTAAGTGCCAATACATTCCGTTTTAAAAGAGCCCTCTCCAAAACTTTAAAGTAGCTTAAAAATAGCTTTAACATAGCCCTATCCAAACACTTAAGCGAAATTGCCAAGAAATAGGATGGGAAACAGCAAACAGTGTCTAGGACACCAAAGTTTGAGTTTGTTTACTATCTTCTTCATAAAGAAAAAGGCAGTCAGTTTTATAATATGCAAGACAGGGCAGCAGATGAAACCACCTACAAAAAGGTTTAAACAGTTTTGCCTTTTAGCTCACTAGTACATACATCCTGAACTTAATCAGTCAGACAACTGGCAGTACCTTCCACTTTCAAGTTGGTGAGCAGAGAATAGGCATACTCCACTGAAGTAGAAGTGACTTGCCAGTGAGCAGTAATGTTTGAAGAGATCATTTTGTGTAATTCACGGAAAACTTCTGTGATAACAACGGTAAGCAAATGCCCTACATTTGATCATACTGTGAAATAACAATGCAAGTGACATATTTGTCTGATGACATTTAAACTAAGGGGAAAAACAAGTTGTCCAAGGTAAGCTCTAATGTGCTGCCATCTTCTCTTCCAATCAGCCATACTAAGAATAGGTATTGTATTCATGATAATACATGAAATAGATCTAAGTTCAATACCAAGGAGTTTGAGTGCTAATGAGAAAGCAATATATTTAAGGGAGTCACATTTTCTCTAGTCCTTACTGGTATACTGTGAAACCTGCATCTGTAATGAACTATTTTATTTTGCATTCTCAATGAAAAAAATGTGTGCGTGTAGGTATGTATGTGTATCTATATAGATGCAGTATGCAGAAAATAATTATAAATATGTATTTTATATATACACATACATGTATTTTAACATACGCAAAAGTGAACTATACATACTTTTCTCCAAATACATTTGAATTCTCAGGTCTGAAAACTTTCAGAACCTTCAGAGAAGGTTTTCCCCACAAAGACAATTTTTTCCCCAAAGATACCTGGCAACTTGAAAAAGGTTCAAGTTCTGCCCAGAGTAATGCTTTGCACCAGTTTCACTAGTTAACAGGAATATTAACTAGTATACAAGTAGACAATCATGCTACTGCCCCTAGCACCAAGGCAAACCCACTAGGGATATCTAGTCAGAGATAGTCTAGTAAGAGTAACTTAATACAAGTTAAGTATTAAGTTGAATACTTAACTTCAAGAAAAAGTATTTTAAGGAAGACTGTCAAACTCGCTATGTTTCAAGCAGAACATTTTAAACACTGATTGCAATCAACTGATATCTAAGCTTAGTGAATGTAAGCAAACTGGTTTCAAGTGGCTCAAGTGTATCAACGCGTGAAAGCAAAGACTGTTTTACATCATCAATAACCTTGTTCAGTTCACCAACGTCCAAATCTGATTAGAGCATAAAAGGCTTGTATAGAGATCTTACAGGGAACACAATAGAGGAATCAGATAAGAGAGACACAGGAAGCAGTATGTAAAGTTGTGGCCCGTACTATCAACATACGGATTTGTTTTAAAGAATGTCAGCTGTATGACTTATTTGTAATAATATTTTAATGAAAACGGCCAAGAAATTGTCAGGAAACTTACATTCTTTGGCTGTTGATTTACTTTTTTGTCTTCTAGGTCCTTGAATTTTGATCGATAAGAAACCATTTTTTCCTGAAGTTCTGGCGTACACAACTCATATACATCCAACATGAGAGGGAATTTAACATCCTGGGAAGAAAAAGGCATAAAGATTATTAGCATAACTGGTATTCCACATTAAAGCATTCTTCCACTGAAAGGCAAGTCACCAAGTCCAATTAAACGCAACTCAATTTGTATTTATGAGAACTGGGTCTGCTGAAGTGTATAAAATAACACTTGCTGCCAGTACTTAACTGAAGGCTACAATATTTTTACAGAAGAATATCTAACTCAGTATAAACAGAAAGCATCTTAAATTGCTACATTCAATATAAACATTTAGATTTTTTTGGAGTATCTGACATACTTTCTTAGTAGGAAAATACCTACATAGATCTAAGGAAAAAAATGCAGGTAGAGTGACTGTGTCCATGCAACAATGCCAATATAAGTTATTTGAACAGTCTTCTAAAACAGCTAAAATGCTTTACTCTCTATTCCCTTGCTTGTCTGTGTAAAGAACAGGCATCATCATCTGTCACGATACTCCCAGGGCGGCATATAAGGTCTAGTGGCCAAGCCCAAAGGAAAGCAAGACTGAACATCTAGCTGCTTGCAACTGATTCTTGCATTTGCCAGTCAGAAAATGAGACAATTAAAAGAAAGAAAAAAAAAAAAAAAAAAAAGGAAAATCCTATCAGCATTGGAGCAACTTAACCTTACTACCCCCCACCCCCACCCCCCAAACCCAGTTTCTACTTTGGTAGTATAGTTTGCCACACCATCACAATTGGTAACAAAGCTGTTTTGCACTCAAGCAAAGAGGCTGTACTGTCAATGTTTCTTAGAGTAATTAAAAGCAAACACTAAAGTGTAGATAACTTGCAAGTACTAATCATCTAGCTATAGTAAAAAAAAAAAAAAAAAAAAGATTGAAAAGCATAAAGAAGGATTGAACTTGAATATGCAGGAAACTGTTACTCACCTTAAGGACTTTGGCATTCACAGATTCTTTCTCTTTGTAAAAAAATCTAACCATCTGAATAGTGAGATATGCTGGCAAGCGACTAATCTTAGACTAAAAAAAAAGTTTAGAAGAAGCTGTTACTTCAGATTTTCACAGATCATTTATACTTTAAACACTGCTCATCCTAAACTACTGACTATTCTTAGAATGTATTTGTACTCAAACATATAAGAATACAACAACTCTCATCTTGAAACTCTGTATAGTAGTGTATTCAAAGGAATACATTTCAACTTCTAGTCTTCAATGTCTTGGTAATGGATATCTAGATGCTTTATAAACATAAATCACATGCTGTTCCAGCAACAGTTTTCTGTCCCAAACAGCAAAGTTGACAACAGTGAAAAGAAACATAAAGACAGCAGCAGCACCACCACTCACAGATTTGATATAGAGTGCATTTCTCTGCAAGGTTGGAGAGAGTTTGGTGATTTCTTCTTGAAGACGCTATTAATTTAATGAAAAAAAAAAAAAAAAAAAGACTGTTAAGTTATAAAGCACATAGCTTAAAGAAAAGCACAGCATGGATAAACAAACCACAGTCTAAATCTTGTTCTGTCAGTCTATTCTACCTGTTGTCACCAGTCATTACATCATCTAGAATTTTGGAATTCCTTGGCATAAAGACCATGCCATTTATTTGTTCAGCTCCACAGTCGTTCATGATCCCCAACAACACTAACAGTGTTTCTCTCTGCAGAAAATTTTATTCTGCAAGAAAGCTGTGCTTCACAAATGAAGTATCTTTATTTAGTTATAAACGCGTCATACCATGGTTGGGACACAAGAAAAGAAAAAAAAAAAAAAAAAGAACAATCTAAAAAGTTTCTTGTGACAAGAATAATTTTAAGTTTCTTAATTCTCAGTCTTTTAGTTGTTTTTTGAAAAAGGAGACAGAGCTGTAGATAAGCAGACAGATGGTGATATTCTGCTGGTGAACTTCCAGGGACCTTTCCAAACTCAGGGAAAGGCTGGCCTGGTTGTTACTGTTGTGACCCTCTCTCACTACAGGCAATCCAGCATATGATTTCTGGAAGACCTTCTCTGACCTTTTTTCATAACGTTTATAATTTGTTAGCATTACCTATTCTATCTCACTTTTCCTTCTAAATTCTGTTACTAGTAATAGATGCAAAGATTATCTGAGACCCGTGCAAGCTGGTCCAATCCTGTACAAACTAGAGTACCGCTTCCATCCCTACTTTTATACTAATACTCCATAATAGCAGCTACTATGAAGTTTTTGTAGTAGCTCCTTTCCTTGCTACTTCAGACTCTCCAGAAAACTCGAAAACTGAGAAATACATACAAAAAGCACAGACTACTTTAAGAAATCCTATTCAAACAGTCAGTATAAAGATCATGATATGTCCTGGAAAGTTTAACATACAAAAAAATCTGCAAAATTAAATTCAAGCTTGTTTCATCACCTGTATTTCTTAAGGACATGGCAATTCAAATGCCACCCTACTGTAAAACTGACTTTTGGACTTCTTTTGGAACCAACTACAGCATGCTTAAATCACAATACTGCTACAGTCTGGAGCACAAGCCCACTGAACAAATAGCTTCTTTTAAAATGAAAACCACAGTAAATTGGCTTGCAGCTGGATAACTGCATGGGCAAGACCCTGTCAGCATCCAAAAAAAATCCTCCGTTGAATTCTGCTTTACATTAATACGCAATTCATTTTCACTTCCACCTTCCTTGCAACACCCAAAGAAACCTTGAAAAAGACATGTAGTAAACCTTGGAAAACCTTGAAAAAGACATGTAGATGCCAATTTCAAGTCAGAAATAGAAAAAAACCAGGTCATTTAGAACATCCATTAAACAAAGAGAAGTTGTAATGGCTTACCAATTTTAGTCCTGTAAACAGATATTTCACTTCTTGATTGATAAAGCAACTAAGCTGAAGCTGATTCTCCTTTCCTTTAGTTACCTCTTCTTCTTCAGCTTCTGTACATTTCATGCTTCACAAAATTAAGGAAAACCATCACGCACCAAGAGCTGAACTACTGCTCTAACTAAAAAGATATGCTGAACAGCACACGAATTCAAGTAAAATAACCCTGTACTTGCACATCAACAGTACTTTTAATTCTCTTGGTATAAAAAACAAAAGATTTGAAACACTGAACAGCCCTACCTAGTAATAAATCTGTTCTTGAATATATAATGACGCGTGGTAGCCGAGGCAGAGGGAGGGCACACTAAGGTAAATTCTTCAGTCAGCATTTAAGCTTGCAAGGCCCGCCTGGTTTTTTGTTTTCCCACAGAACATAGATTATACTATTTGGCTGCCTGCCAACATCAAACCTTGGGAGACCCCTGCAATATTACACTTAGTTGTTTATAATTTCTAGTGTTATATTCCTGCAAAAAAAGGCTAGACTTCCCATTTCTTCAGACCATGCACAACCTCCCTCCCCTGCTTTTCATCTGTCCTCTTCACTGAAGTGTGTTTCTTCAGTGTTTCATATTCATCCCTTCAGTCATCCCATCCATTTTTGTACTTCTACCCATCAATCTCTTTCTCTCAACCACTTACTTCTAACACAGGGAGAGAGAGGCATGATTCCTGCTCTGAAAGGAAGGTCTTCACTCGCCATTACTACCACACTTTGAGATACACTACCTCATCTTAGGAGATGATTCCTTATTTCCAAAGTGTAAAACCCGCAGTAGAGTTCTTTCTGAAAAAGTGGTAGTCAGTTTAATGATGGCCAGGATTTTAGAGTGGAAGAGGGGAGAGAGAATAATGCTTGGAATGAGAGATGTGTACCACAAGGTCATCTGCATTTCGTTCTTAAACAAAAAAAAAAAAAAAAAAAAAAAACCAAAGAACCACCACAACCACCACATGCTACTTGAAAGTTGTCAGCTGAATTAATTTCTTACTCATCTAACCGTCTGCAGCTAATTTATTTCTTAAGAATTCAATCTGGTATCAAGTCATCCTTCATCCATGTTCTGGCATGTCGGTGAGTATACCAGCAGCACTTCCTTAACTAGCCAAAGAAAGGCTATTTAGGAAGACATTTACTTCTATTTGGATAAGCTGTAAACTGTCTCAGCATCCCTGAAGCAGATAACTGCAAGTCTTCTCTGGAGAAGAAACCTGACATTTAAACTCAGTGTTTTTCTTGCTGTAAATTTCCATTACCATTCTTCCTCCCCACATCTTCCTCTCTCTCAAAGTATATATGATCTTAATTTTAACTTGTGTGTACTCCTGCAATACATCATCCTCCCTCTTCCCTGACAAGCACCTTAATTTTCTATGCTATTTTGGATGATGCTTTTTATCCTCCTGGCACTCAACTCGTAAAGTACCAAATCATTATCACTTTATGTCTTGCCTTAGTCTTTAGGATACGCTGTTTCAAATTCAATGCTGAAGAACTGATCAATTAAACTCTTCCTTTTAGAGGCTGCTGCGGGCGCTCCAGAGTCTGTCTGTAAAACAAATTTTCTTATACTGTAACTTTAAATAGCATACAGGAACAGTCGTCTTTACACACAAAAAAGGATTTATTTTAATTCTTAAAATTCTTTAATTCTTCTGAAGGTGAAATCCTTCACAGCATCTCCCCACACAGCATTCTAAAACAACATATTTACAGCACTGCTGTTAAAGCCACCTCAAAGCATATTAGCAAGTGAGATTTCAATCAAAAAAAAAAAAAATCCTTTCTCCTCCCACCCCCGCAAGGTTAGACCACTCTAAACCTTAAGATAGATTTATCAGATCTTTGCCACTACCAAAACTCTCCAGATAACAGTTTAGAAAAAGAAGAGAATCAGTCTGGTGAAGTCCTGGAAAAACTTTAAAAGGAATTTAGTATCAGGTTGCTGAAGTTAGTTCTGTTTAAAGCAGCATTCATGTAGCTAAGAATACTGTAGCACAAGGATGTTTTTTTCAGAAACCAGTTCTGACGTGCTAAATTTGTAGGTTATCAGGGCCAGCTGCTGCATGTTCAGAGTCACCATGAGCCTAGTCCAAAACATGCCATGCAAAGCCCAGAGGGAAAGTTTTCCTATGGCACTTTCCAGAGCACGGCTGACAGTACAGACAGCACTACACTACAGGAAGCAATTTCACTTACTGGACTATAGAGGCATCTTAAACAACTCACAAAAGTGAATCACCTGTATTTTTGTTATGGCAATCAGAAGTATGGTACTGTGAATCAGAACTCCGGTTAGAGTAAGTCTACAATTACCTCCATAACTGTATCACCTTCTATGCCTTCCAGTTTCTGCTGTAGTACCCTCATCATCTGCACCCAGCATTCATTGGCATCCTAGGAAGGAAAAGGACATTAAATTTGACTTCTAGTGTTATGATTTAGAAAGTAGTATTGAAAGCATCAACCTTCACATTGTAAAACCAAATGTGAAATGCAAGGATTTCTTAATTAAGAATTCCTCCCTATTCCAACACACATTTTCAGAGCTAGCTCTTGAGATCACATTCAACTTTTCTACACAATACAAAAGCAAAAACATCTCTGGGTTAAAGAGAATTGTTTACTTTCACAAGGGGAAGAAATTTTTAATATATTCTTGCCCTCACCTTCCAACATACTATTTTCAATACTTTCATACTTTATTTTCAAAAAATTAAGTGAGCAGTCTTTACCTGTTGAAGGTACTGTCCTTGATCACCTTTCTCTGCAAACTGGGGGAAGGCCATATGTAAAAACTGCAGGAGAATGATAGGTGGGATACTGGAGGAAGTTTTATCCATGGAATCAAACAAGTCTCTAAGAGCTTAAAGAAAAAGTAAGTGAATGTTTTGAGAAGTGGAAAAATAATTAAAACGTGGCAGGAAGTTTTTAAACAGAATAGTAAGACGATAGCAACATTCAGAGATTGATCATTTAACAGTCTCAAATGCTGTCTTTCCACAATAGGGCCAAATTTTCCAGGTGGCGTAACAGGTGCACCTAAAGTCTCATTTGTGAACATGACTTTGCAAGTGTAAAGATGACAGTTCTGACAGTTTGGCACATAGTGCCTTGTCTTTCCTGGCTGCTAACAGAAAAACATTTTTTTGAGGACTTAAGATTTCATTTAAAACACATCTGAGGAACAATGTTTTCACAACAGGACTACACCTAGAGAAGCCAGAAGGCATTCACAATCTATCCTCTAGAGCAGCTTAAGTTTCATCTACTGCTGGAAAAATCTTTCATTTTTCCCATCTAAAGTCTCTAGAAAATACTCAAGCTTAATTTAACACCCAGGAAAACAAGTATGTGTACGCATACATGCAGGCAGTTCGTAACTACGTGCAATTCAATGAATGCTACTGATTGCATGACAATACACATGGCTTTCTAGCCCCAGACACACTACTACATGTGCCTTATCTACTTATGTTACAGCATTTTCCATTCACAAACCACTTCAAAGACACCTGTTAACCCTCACAACAACCCTGTGAGGTAGGCAACGGTCTGCATGGTCACTAATTTACAAGTGGAGACGCTAATGAATGAAACTCTTGGAATATAGGGAAGATTGCAAAGAAACAAGGTCAGCTTCTTCCTCTCCTTGTGATATATCTCCAGCACTGAAGAGGGACAACTGATATGACACAGCAATTAAAAAAATGCCATAAGTGTCATGCAGGAGTTCTTGATCAGCTCAGCACCAAAGGGTTAACTAAGAATCTCATATCTTAAGCCATTAGGACTCCTAAGAAGCAGAGCTGTCACCTTAAAAAGAAAATAAGGGACACAAAGTAAAGGCAGTGAAAAGGGGAGGGGCAGGCATGGTTGTATAGAGTAACCATTGAACTTACCACCCCAAAATTCGATCAGCAGGCATACCCACAAACTGGACCTTTCCTTCCTTATATTGTTTTGTTTTTCCTTAAATGGACTGGTAGAAATCCCAGTGTCCTGGCCCAGCATCTTAGTGGGGCAATGAAATAGAGTAAAAAAAGAAAAAGTGGACAAGTAGTACCCTTATTCAAGTGTAAGGGGTCTAACTAGAATTCTAGTTAGAGCTTGGAGATATGGGGCCATCATGAGCTCCCGCACCGTGGGCACCCAGATCACCACAACAAAGAGTAACTTTCCTTTTGGAGATACTACTTTCTTTCGTATTTATGAAATCTGAATCTTTAGCTGATGCATTATCACTGGTCTTAGCCTTTACCCTAATACTTAGCCAAATAAAATATATTAAAAAATATCAATGAATACGTATTCCAGGAGCGTGGTGTTAGCTCACCATTAAGTGAAACAAAGAACTGGTCACTAAAATATTTCTAAATAAAACAAACATATCAAGGAATGGAGGGGTTTGCTTTAGAAAGTTCCAATTACTTTACGCCTACATACAAAACAATAAGAGATATGAATGCTTTATATCTACGTCTAGGTCACACTTGAATATATTCTTCCTAGCACGCAGCTAGGTAATATACAGAGAAGTATGCTTCGAAGCCATGGTCAGTCTAACCTTTAAAGACATCAGTAACAGAGTAAAATGAGTCCTCCAGTGCTAGCAGATCTGAAATTCCTAAGGCGTATGCACTAAAGAAACACATACAGAGCTTTGACTACAATTTTCGTCTCCAATTAGCAGGAAATTACACACTAGCCTAAAACCCTCAACACCAACCTGCAGTAATGTATTGAGCAGAGGCCATTTCTCCTGAAGCTCTTAAGGCACCACCATACCTAAAAGAAATGAAAAATAATTCCCATGCAATTAAACCAAATCATGAACAGCAGTCTAGTTTTAAACCATAAAAGCAACAGCAGCCAGTTTTAAAAAAAAAATAAAGTACCAAAAGAAATCAATCACCAAAACTGAAGTAACTGAAGACGTTTGCTCATGCTCACACCAAAATATCAGTTCTTCCACAAATACTGCACTGGAAGCAAAGAAAAACTGGCTTTCTTGAGACGATAAACAACATGCAAAAAACAGGAATGCATCACTATTGCTTCCCAACCCATTTGTCCCAAAGATACAACCTATTTGTAAAAGAAAGTGAGAAAAAGTCCGAACAAAAGCTAACTCGTTTCTTAAACATCTGCCACAGGCTCTTCAAACAGACAGAAAACACATTCAGTAATAGATTATGGACCAAATATAAGGAAATAGAGGGCAGTCATCCACTCTCATAGCAGAAGCAAAACAAGGAGAGGTGAGATATTTCCCACACTGGAAAAGTCTGCGAAGCCACCCGCATTACTAGATCTTAGCACTCCTCCTCGAATGGTTTCTTTATTTAACACCTGCATGAGGAACAGATGGCTTTCTCAAAGCCTTCCTTCAAGCAAAAGGAGGATTTCACACTTTCTTTAAATCTCGGTTTTGTTTTTTTTTTTAAAGTTTACATTTTTTCAGTTTATTAAGTTCAGCTTCTTCCATTTATGGCTGGAGGATGAGCAGGAACTTTTCATCCTCTCATGCTACCAAAAGGGGAATACCCCTGGAGAGAGTAACAGAACAGCTGATGAGAAATGAAACCGTAATAGTAAGCTTCCCCATTTAAGTCCATTCACCTCTCTCCCACTGCCATACACCTTCTGAAGTAGGGAAGGCCAAATAAAAGCCAAGTCTTTGGTGCAAAACAGTCGCTACTTGCGAGTCTGCCTTACCACAGGCAAAAAGGCCACATCTTGCATTGCAGCCTGCCAGTTTTACAGGGTACCTTTTGACATTTGGCATGTTATATTAAGTTTTTAAGATACTTTGATTCAGTGCAATAACGTAAGAGCCCTTTAAGAGGAAATACACAGATTTTCCTAAAATGACAAAACTAAAAAACAAAAAAAGCTGGTAGAATACTGCATTTTTTGTATTTTAAAATGGTTCTCCGTGCAGATAAAGCTGTGTTAGAATTTAAATAATTATGGTTCACTTGCTAATAGAATGAAGAAAAAATAGGAAGTGAAATACTTCAGTAACTAGTGTTTACAGTACCTAGAAAATCCAGTTGGATACCAAGGCATCAAGAAAGCAGCAAAGATGGTTAGATGAGTGACGCTAGCCATGAGTAATGCCTGCAATGCTCTACCTAGTCCTCACAATTTTTAAAATACTGATTGTTCTCTCACTATGATTCACCTGGAGAACAAGTTCAGGCTCATATTTTCATGCATTTTGTTTTTCTGATCTTTCCACTTTTGGTAAAGGTTTTTCATGGATTACTCACGAAAAAACTGGTCATTTCCACCTTTCAGTCCAGAACAACAACCACCACCACCACCAGAAAAGTTATTCTATGATCAGACCTAATTAAACAGATTCTTGTCAGTGTGTCTTCTGCTCCCTCTACATCCACAAGACCTCCAACTTCTTCCAGTTCTCTACCACAGTAATACCTACGGTTATATCCCAGAGCTTCCTTTCCTATCTCCAACTACCAGATGTCCATCACCTTAGAATTTCATAGCTGAAAACGTTATGCAACAAAACTATGGGAAAAAAAGACATCTTCAAAGGAACAGCACTCTTGTACAGTACTTTATATAGAAGACCCTACAAACTAGTGCCAGAAAACAGGGTTAAGAGTTCAGCAGCTTGTTTAAGTATTTTAAACAAGTCTTGATAGGAACTAATTTTTAAACTAGGTAAAACTACATCTCTCTACCAAAATCTAGCTCCAATAAATATATACAGTCTTAAGTTTTAAAAAAAGAATAGATTATCACAGCTACAGGATAAACTGATGGATCATTATGTTAATCTTTAATAGATATATGGAATAACAGATTGTTATGTTAAGCCATAGCAGTATAAAGATGACTACTGCACAAAATGTCTGTTTCATAAGCTAAAGTAAACATTTTAGAGGTATTTTTATACTGAATCCTACCTTTTAAGGGCCTCTTTCACTTCTGGCACAGAGCGAATACACTGAACTGTAGCATTCATGTAGCAAGTGTTGCCAAGGTTTGTCAATCCACATGGTAATTCCATCTATCAAAAAAATGTACAAGGATGCTTGAAGGTCTGAGAGAGATGTGTAACCATTTTCATGTAAGTACCATAATTTGACATCAACTTGTCAGAAAAAAAATGATCTGAGACGCCCAAAACCTGGCATATCCCAAACTTTATTTTATGAAGCTTTCCTGATCTATTTTTTGATTATATTAGTGTATTTCACCATTCAGTGCTTTTAAAAGACATTCAGGAATGCTTTGCATTATTTCTGTGCATGTTTAGTTTAACGAGCATATTTTTCAAGCAGGCAGTCATTCAGAAAGTTCAATTATAATCTCATTCAAGCTTTGACCGTAAGATGAAGCTTTACATGAAATTACCACGTGAATACATTTGTACGCAACACTGATGTTTTAATTAAAATCGGTTTTCAGAAGAACTCTGAATGGGATGACGTTCATAGTTCTCCAAAAGTCAGCAACACATCATTAATCTTATCTTCTTAGACAGCTTGTGGATCACTGAAATTTTGACAAGTGTGAAGGCCAAATAATAATTAAACTAACCAGTTTCAGAAACAACTATAAATCACAATATAACAGCAGAGATGTTTCTTTTTGTAAAAACCCACGTACCTGAGTAGTTGGTTATAAAAAACTGTATCTAACGAAACTGAAGTAGGACACCATACCAATATCACTCAATTATTTTATGAAGGGAGAAGTAGTTTAGCTGCGTACCCCATTTGTAACGCATATATACAGTACAGACGCTTAAATTCCAACATATCACAAAAGTTTGAATCAGAGAAATGCAATCTGACTGTTTCAAAACATTATCTGACACTGAATTATCTCCTATGTTTGCCTCACAGTTAACTTAGTCTACATAAAGGGTTTGCCTCAAAACACATGAATATCCCACACCTGCTGCTGCTACAGAAAGCGTTAAAAATTGAAATTAATAACTAGTCCCTAAGCTACAGCTCCATTTTCATACAGACATGCATGAAAGAATTATTCTTCTGCATACACAACAAAAAATAAATAAAAACTTCAAAGTTCCCACCCCAAACTAGCCCTAGTTTCCCTCCACAGATGTAAATGAGCTAGGACAACAATTCTGCACATCTAAGAGCTCTTATTCAGGCATAGTTCAGGATGTTAATATACAGCCAGGGCAACAGAAGTTTGTCTTTGAAAGCATTAGTAAGGCCATTTTTATTTTAGAAAATTTACTCAGCTGTCTGCTTCAAGAAAAAACAACATTCCTTACACGAGTTATAAGTTAAATTCCAGACTTTTCATCACTGCTAACAACTGGGTCATCAGTGTAAATTTGTTTTTGTTTGAGACACTATAAACGCTAAACAAACATTAGTTTTAAAATCCACTCTTAAGCAACTGCAAGTATTTACAAGTACTTAAAAATTTACCGTTATTCAAAGGTTTACAAGAGAGCAAAGTTTAGAATATACTTACAGCTGAAGCTAACTGTTCCTCTGTCATGTCTTCTACAAAGACGGGTCGAGAAACTGGCTCTTCTGGAAGTGCATCTGCAGAACCCATCATTAATAAGGTCATCCCCTGAAAATACAGTAAAAGTAGCGATTAGTGTTTAAGGACAATCGTTTCCTCAAAAATAAACCAACAAATAAATCTGTAACACAGCTGAGGTATTTCCCCAGAGATGGACAAGATCTTTCTCTTAAGTTTATAGAATTGATATTACATTACTGATTCTTAAGAGTATACCTTTCTAGCAAATAAAGAAAAAAGCAGCCAGTCCATCTGAAATGGACTCTTTTTTCAGAGTCACCTCTCTGAAAAAAAAAAAAATCATGCTACAACTTTCTCTTTATATAAAAAGCACTTAATGAAAACAATTCCATAGTATTGTCTTTGTTGAGTCTGGTCAGCTTGCCACTAGCTGACAACTCAACATTTCCAGTCAGGAATAATTTAACAACTACAAATATCCTGATGTGAAATTTTCAGAAAGGCTCCCTTCCTGATGGATCATTAGGGATCAACTATCTTAAAGATTTCAGTGCAAACACTCGTCCTTCTTGCTTAAAAGATACCTTGGAACCAAGGATAACCAAACAGCTACCTTCCAATTTGAAAAAAGTTGCAATGTTTGAGATTCTCATTCAACAGAAATCTCAAGACACCAATTTCAGAATTCTCTGCCTAACAAAAAAAAAAAATACCCTCATGTTTGGCCAAGGATCTGGGAAAATGTTTCAGGTGAATGTTGGTGAACGCAGCATCACAGCTCTGAGTTTGGAATTGCTTTTTCACTTGAAAAGCAAGTGGGAAAGGGAAGTGCCATCCTTTGGTTTAGCAAGTTCCGAGGACACACGAAACTAAACAAAAAAAAGAAAAATATGAAAAATAATCAAAATGGCCAAGTCAGTATAGGCATGAAAACATTTAGGGGAGGGGGGGGAAAAAAAAAAAAAAAATCAATCATGTTACCATGCTTCCTGTAATAGCATAAAGAAAGGGACTTTGTGAGCATTCAACAGGAGTACTTCTACACAGTAAGACCCAAAGGCCAAGAAAATACCTGGTGGTTCTGAAAAAGACAAGGTGAAGGAAAAGGGACCATCCAATAACAGAATGGAAAGAGACTGCTTTGACAGTGCAAATAAATCCCCTAAAGTTGCATAAAACAGTAAAATGATAAAGGCAGCTACTAGCATTACAATATGCAGAAAAGGACAGGAATATTACGTACTGGGGTTTTTGCTGAATGACTTTGCTACAAGAGCTGCAATCTATTGCCACTGGCCGCTAACAGATACTAGGGAACTAATTACAAGGGTAAGAGTTATGCAACGTAGCTCAATCTGCTCCAGTAAAGAACTGAAGTAAAATCTGTACCAAATAGATTTACAAGATTCCTACAGAACTGAAAATGATTAAAATACAAAAAAAAAACTTTGTGGTTCCCAGTTACAATACTGCAAAGGTGAGAAACACAAATACACTCATTTTTTGTTTTCCATTTGAACTATTCAAGGGTATGAATAAATAACCATCACCAACAGCACTGTTTTTAAACGAATCTATTTAACGTGGAAGAAAATTTCAGAGGGCTGACACAACAGGAAACCGGCAGAGCTGTACTTTCCAGCATTCCTAATGCAATGGTTTTCCACGCTGAGGGAGAAGTGGTGCAATGGACCACAGAGAAGGCCCAGGTTCACAAGCTCTCTCTAAATAACTTCTCTGGCTATTATGGTCATGGATAGATTACACAGACAGACTGCTGTTTTGATCCAGCATAGCACTTCTTTTAAGTAGAATGAAATATACACCCGAAGTACTTTAGGAAGATGTTACAGTTACCCTAGAGATGCTAGGAAAATTCTTACAAATCAGTGGTGAGGACTTCGTAAAAACGCTTAGCTATGACAACCACACTCTAAAATTATTTTTTACCAAGGTCTTGACTTTTAAAAAATAACTCAAACAGAATTCAAATCGAAACAGTAAAAACTTCACATCCTTGCTTAAGTCCCAAAATAAAAATCAAACTAGTAAAACTTAGTTATTCCTCAAAACTTACATTCTTTATTTTTATGTTTCCCCAGTCATCATCCTGTATTTGAAGTGAAATAAAAGACAAGTTAGTTTTCTTATAGCAAAAGGCAAGCGAGTAAAAGTGAGTTAATTAATATTAACCACATATTTAGAAATACACAATTGTATTTCATTCTAGATTCCACAATACTGAAGTATGAACATATGAAGTCTTGGCTGACAAAATGGAACCAAGTGGCCTATTCAAGAAGGTTCTTCATTTATTGTTTAACACTGCTTAGATATAAACAACTTTTCTGTAGGAAAGTTGTCCGTATTCCATTATACTGAGATAAGTCTACAGCAAAGAAATGCCAGAGAACTGTCACGTCTGCTTTGTTTTCACTGGCCGGCAACACAGAAACTTTTCTTAAACAAGAGTAACATAAAAAAGTTGCACTCAGATTCTGAACGTTTAAAATAAAGCAAAATAGAAACACCAAGTGGAGTAAAGTTTAGTATGAAACAGTGAAAAAGAGTTTTAAAATAGCAGCCTGTATTTCTCAATCATTTATCAACACACTTTTGTCAGTATTCTCTAGTAGTAGGCAACATATCATACAGAATTCTTTCTGAAAAATAGTAGTCAGCTTAATACATACCATGAAACATCACCTAGAGAAACATTCTGAAAATCTGTTACTGCTAATTACGTTATAATTGTAATAGAGTTAGAAATAATACACAAGCATGGGTTTCTACCTTCAGAGTTCCTCCTTTAACCATAACCTTCTGTCTAGCTGGCTGAACTCCAGTCAGTGCAAACAACTGAGCTTTGAAGACCATGGGAGGTTCATCAGTGTTAAGCTCCACACCATCGAATTTCTCTTTTCCCCATTTCACGTTAACTGTAAACAAAGCGTTTTGAAACTAGATTATTCCCTAACATACAAAAATGTAATTCCCAAGATTAAATGAGTATTTTAAATTCTGGTCTTTATACCGTCACAAAACATTTAATTTGCACCTCTAAAACTTCTCAGTAACCAAGTTAAGGTGCACCTTTATGGTAAAGTGTCTCAGCCATCACAATATATTATTTCCAAAGCAAAGCAATTTTATATACTAAAAAACCACTTTGCAAGCAATAACCGCACAAAACAGAAGCAGAAATGCTTTACACAAACCTCCACAAAAGCAGTTAGAAAGTTAACTCACAGTCTCTCGGCACTGTTTATTGCAACCAAATTTCTGAAGCAAATTCAGATGTATGCTTTCAGTTAAGTTTTCCATAGCATTTCCACTCTCCTTCAATGACAAACTACCATGCTCTTTAAAGTTAAAGTTATTGTTTGATAGCTGTAGTTTTGGCTACTGGTATTTTACGTGAAGATACATGAGACGCTAAACATGCATCAAGACAGGCGCCATAAAATCAAATACCTTCTGCTTTCTTTTAGTGGAATGTTAGCCTTGCAGTGCCCTTTACAAAGCGGTCACTGTTACATTCTTCAGTTCTGATGTTAATTCACACAAACAACGTAGTTTGCAAAGATGCACAATCAGCTGCCACAGGCCTCAGCTCCAAAAGCTGAAACCCCCAGTAGGGGTGCAGGGCTGGAATTTAGAACTCAAATGAAATTTGGTCACACAAGCGTGCCTCTCAAGGCTGAAAGGGGCAAAAATGTTAACCAAAATGACACAAAGACATGTTAACTTCACTTTTATAAAGCTATTACTAACCAAGAGCAGATAAATATTTTTAGGATAAATAGCATGTGTTTAAGGAACAGTTTAAGTCTTCAGTCATTACCAATTATTCTATGTTTCAAAAGGCTACTTTAGCCAGCTACAGCTTTGCTGAAAATCTGCAAAATATAGCACACAGAAAGAGCCTACTCAAGTGCATTATAAGTGACTGAAATACTATGCTTTGAGAAAGTCACATGCTTCCTCCTGCCTGTACTTCTGTTTTACGTAAGTCTACTGTAGGAATTCTAGGGTTTTTTTTCCCCCACAACAAATTCTTAAAAGTTGTGATTAAAAAAAACTCCCAGAAAGGTTAAGATTTCAGGTGTACACAGCACTTGGGAAGGGAAATAAGGAAGAATTTAGTCTAAAGTATTAGTCTGCATAACAGCTCAAATTGTTGGACTTTCAGTATTTCTGTCAGAAAGTCCCTTTTAATTTGCCTGACCTTCTGATTTTTTAAAATGTATTTATTATTTTGCACTTTTAATATCTACCAAGCACAAGTCTTTTCCCATTTCCTTGGGAGCCTACCCGCTCAGTCCCTGAAAAACAGTCTGCTGCAAACATTTAAGTTTCGCGTTTTTGAACAGTCATCCATCTATCACTAAACTAAACGTGCAGGAGAGCAAGTGGTTTTTAATCTATATAGACCATCACTGTTTCTGAACACTCAGCACTCAGGGTAGATATGAGACGAGCATGAATGTCTTCATTTCAGAGATCATAACTGAAACTTCCAGTAAAGATTTTCAAAAGAAAAGAGAAAATTGTGTTAGGTGAAAACAATGGAAACTAAGAAAACAGAGCGCTACATTTGTCACACTGAATGGAGAATACAGCTTATACAGATGTGCTAAATATTCAGGAAAAGCACTATTTTATTAGCATCAAGATCCCAGTTTGCCAACCACAATTCAGTGGAAGATGGACGCAACCGAGTACTGCTGCCTTCTATAATCTGTTCTTCACGTACTAAAATGCTCCAAGAGGCCTGAACTGCGAAACACAGACACACCAATAGCTGCTCCTAGAAGAGTCATTGGAGAGCGGGAGGCTCTGCTCTTGCAGTCTTCACTAGAAACTTCCACTAGTGGAAACAAGGGTGAGTGGGATGCAACGCAATCTTACAAAATTGTAATCCCTCTGGTTTTAACTGGGAAATAACAGCTTTAAAAGAGCAGAGACAGATGAACCTAAATTTGGAGGAACAAAATGCGGAGCTGCAGTTCATGTGACAGCCAGCAGCACTCATCTCTGTACAAAACAGAAACAAAGCCCAACACCGAGGCGTAACTCCACCGTAACGTTTGCCCGACGCGTCTTCGCGCATCCGAGTCTTGCCGAGACGGTCCGTCCCGCCAGCGAGGGAGCTTTCCGCTCCTCCCAAGGCCGCAGCCCCTGAGGAGATAAAACGCTCCCTGCGCCCGAGGCCAGGCTGCCGCCCAGGCGGGGCCCCGAAAACGGCTCTCACCGGAGACCCCGGCACCTTAACAAACCACCGAGAGGACGCTGACCCGTGCTGAGCGCCTTTTTTTGTGTGTGTTGGGGGGGGGGG